AAGCAATATAAATGATAGGTTTAGAGAGTGTAGACCCCACCTAACTATGTACCACCAGCAAGGCATATGCCTGAAATAATTTTACTTCAGTCAACTTAGAACTTAAAATGCTGGAGAAGATCTTAAAGGATACGTAGTTATCCATAAAATATATTTTTTTCCTTTTTGCTTAAGTTTAAAATAGCTGCCAAATATATGGATATGCACCTCTGAAACCTAAGTTTTCTTGGTTTACCAGTTTCATATTTTACCTTAAAAAGGTTGGCATCAAGTTGTTCTAACATCTTTATCTTTTGTTATAGAGATATTTAGCCTGTAATATTGACAAAACAGATAAATGTATGTAAAGGTTTTTTTTTTTAAATAAAGTGATTCCTAAGGTTTAAAAAAAAAAAAGCAAGAATAAGCTGTGGGCTTGAGTTGCTCTAGAAACTGTAGTAATTTACTTCCCTAGGCCTTCAAGTGGGGAAGATATTATTAGTTATGTACCCACTTACAAGATCCAGGTATACGTACAGGGTTCTTGAAAAGTCTGCACTGATTAAAAAAAATCTGTTCATGAACTCCAGGCAATAACATCCATCCCTTGACCAGTTTGATTTTAAGACTAAATGTTTTATCGTGGTTCATACTGACAAAATTTGCAAATCTGTACATCGTATTATCTTCCAAAAGGTATTCCCCAAGTAGAAACTCTGCCCACTTGTTCCTTTTTTCCTTCATATACTTGGCATAAATTCTGCTTTTGGGTTCAATATTTCTCCAGAAGCTCCCACACACAATGGCCAGTCAAACTCAGTGTATACGCTGTCATCTGCTGGGGCACTGTCACCAACACCAGACTTTTTACAGGAAGGGGGAGGGGGGGGGGGAGAGATTCCTTAAATATAGTTGATGTCAAAAAGAGGCCCTGTACCAGGCAATATGTCCCTCACATACTCACATAGGTTCAGAACAGGATAATAAAAATGGGGGTTTTCTCAAGCAGTGAAATGAAACCAAAATTGCAATAGCCCTTTGGCCAGAGTTTGCAATGGTCATTTGGCCAAAGAGTCTTTTGAGCCTCCCCCCCCCCTCCGAACTCTCCCCTACAGGCTTATATCATCCACCAGATTTCAAGAATAAAATCACTTAGTCTTATGTTCAAGTTTCAGGTGTAGTTGTATATTTCAGTGTATTTACAGCAATGCAAGCATGAGGCAAAATTGGATGCCTTTTATCTACAAAGAATTTCTGTCTACTCCAGGCTGATCTTTTTAAGTCCTTCAAGTACTGCTCAACTTCTCAAAACAGCATCAAGCACCCTTAAAGGAAGTTCTATTTAAACAAAACATCATAAATGTTTCTAGTGTTTTGAAGATATCACATCTCTTATGCTAAAGAAATACAAAATGCTTTTTTCTAATTCACCACAGTTTAAATTTTCCTTCAGCAAAACACATTAAATCAATGGCATCAATTTGGGTAAAATCATAATCATGCCATTTTACCTCAACTTTGATGTATGTTAATCTGTTGAAATGTGCTTTGGCTTGAGAAGAACATGAAAATGCACTCTGAGATTGGAATGATTGCAAAATGTCCTTAATTTTAGCGACTTTAGTTTACAAAACTATGAGCTTTACACATCAACAGTTTTGTTCTAGCTGTTTGAAGCCAAGTAGCCACATGCTTTTTCGCTATGTTAGTTATGGGCACTTGCACGAAAACACCAGTCTATTTTTCTCCTTCTGGGCTGGGTTTCTAAAACATTTCTTCAAAACAGTGACCACTCCTACTCAAAACCATTTTTTTAAGATTACTTTACGACTGACATTGCCTTTTCAACAAGTCTCTCAAAAGTTTTTCTTTCAGAACGCAGAAAAGCAAAGCGCCAGATTTCTGAAGTAAAAAATGAAATATTGGCAGTTAATGTTAAGAATGAGGATGTGTAATAAGACGATTCTAAGGGCTCATTCCAAATGAAACTATTGTTTTACGTAGAGTGGTCCAATTCCATGGGAACTCTTGCTGAATACAATCAATTTCACCTATTTACAAGCTGTCTCCTGGCATTGAGTAGAATGCAGAAAAGCTGGTGATTATACAGGTGTGTTGAAAACAAGAGGAGACATGTTAAACTGTTAATCAGTTAATGGATTTCATTCAGCAAGAGACCCTGCAGGAATGGATTCATCTATGTAGAACAACAGTTCTTTGGGATTGAGCCCTAAGACTGAATATTCCAGAATATCATTCTCAACAAATCTATTTTTACTCTAAAAGGGGGAAATGTAATTATAAAAAAAATAACAAACCGCTGACATATGCATCAGACACATCTCAGCTTTGCTACATGACCTGCAACATTGCTATCTTAAACAGTGCCTTGTTTTTCTTGCAAGTTGCTCTCGTGACTAGTAACTTCACTTCAGCAAGTGCAAGCACACAAGCATGTGTGTCCCACTGCACAGTCAACTTGGCTGTTTAAAACTAACTGTTACAAGTGACATAACTTGAAAATGACTGTGAATAAGGCACTTGAGCTGGCATAATGTTGCCCTTATGTTCCTGCAAATGGATTGCTTTAATTAGTTTATTCACCACAAAGTCCCTCTAGTTTTTAGCCAAGTGAGAACATGTCTCAGTCTGGTTCTGATAACTAATTAACTTTTTTGTGGTTCAAACTAATTAACTGCCCTCAGCATCACTAATTTTTTCTGTCACATCAACTGACAGCTATTGCATTGTATAATTTCTCTTTCATTGTGTACATCCTCTGCTGCTTTCTATTTTCTTTTGATCAGTCAATACACAGGTTTGTAAATGTTGTAAATTGTAAATGAATGACAGTTGCCTTGAGTTGGTTATCTCATCACAAAACATGAATAATTGCTTTAAGAATTTACACCAATACATGCTCCTGATAGATAAAACATGTATGTACAATATTCAACAAAAGAGAAAAAATCTTTTCATCTTGTATATGTATTTCAAAACCACCTAATTTCCTCTACTTACAAAGAGCAGTAATCACTCAAAAAATAGGATAAGACATGTAATGTATAAGATTCCGTACAGATGTACTCTGCTGTACCTCATGTCAAGATCATCTCACAGTGTTAACCTTCCACTACATTTGATTTGGATAACTCACTGTCGCGCCTCTACCATGAAAATTGGACAAAGATTGAATGTTAAAATTTCAGATGGAATTGCAAGCCGATGAAAGGTACGGAAAGCCCTGCTTGGTTATTGTTCCCACATTTAAAACTCCATCATTATGTCCCTTTTCATAGAAAATGCAATAAATGTTTAATTAATTGTCTCTATTTACACAAAATATAAAAACAGGAAACTGATTCAAACACAATCACGTAACTTACAAAAGACCGTATTTAATATTTCAGAAGCATTAGAATAATGTATGATTGTGTCTTATAATAATTTCGCAAAAACTTATGTTAATAAAATAATTTATGAGATTTTGTGGCAAAATAAATGGACAAAGCATAAAGTGCTGTACTTCATTATAAGAGAAATGGCTATTCAAATATTTGCCTTTCAAAACCAACATTTCCTTTATTAATTAATATAGCTCTCCATTCTTTTCAGAGAAAACATATCTTCATTAGTATCTAGAAGGCACAAAAAGTTCCTACTTTCAAGGACAAACAAAAAGCATGAAATAATGGCACAATTTCCTTGATTTAATCAAACATTTTGATAAACAATATCAAAAATAAAAACATAGGCATAATCGGTTTATTGTCAGAAGCTACCAGAACAAAAAGCCAACTAGACATGACATATTGTAACAGCTTATTGAAGTTCTTATCCACCCTCATGATGTGCTGAAAATTATCAGAATCAACTGAAAAGCTTATGACGCTGGTGAGCCATGATATAAAAAATTCAATCTTTTCTTTTTTTTTAAAGAATTGCTACGGCCATATTATTTCTTTTTTTTTTCTTTTGAATAATTTCAAACCAGTCTGTCACATCAGATGCTAAATCAGCAAGGACAAAAAACAAAAGAAATACTTAAAAATTTAATACATAGTGTCATCTGAACATCTTGCTTCAGAACACTATAATACACACAGCAATTTACAAAATATTTCATCTATGATTAAAAGAGAATACAAGATAATTTTAGGATTCCATGCAATTCTGTGACAAAGTAATCACAAATGTTACTCGCAAAAGCATGTGCACGGAATGAACAACAGTCAACCACTCAGTTTGCATACATGAAGTGCCACAGCAGCCTAAATGAAATAAAGGAGCTGTTATCCACTGCTAAAAAAGCTGCTTTGAGAATCACTTCCCAAACCAAACCACAGTACACGAACTAAAATTATGTATTTCTGGCTCAACATCAGGGAGAAAAATACATGCTGCCCTAAAGATTAGCATACACATGTTAAATAACTCAGCGAGGCAAGAACAAGAAAACCCTGAGCTACATAACCACCATTTAGCCAATTCTATTCCAACATTTTCTGTAGCACATAACCTTGTGAATAGCCATTTGTAGCAGTCAGGTTAACCTCCCAACTGATCTGGCTGCACAGCTTATTGATTGACTGTAACTAGTAGAAGTGACTGGATGTATTAAACCTAATTAGCAACCCCTATAATTAAATGATAAATTGAAATAATTAACTGATAAATCTCAGCATTTGGCATCAACAAAAGCTTTGGGGAAAGTGTGATTTCCTGTTAATATAAAACCTCCCTAAATTGCCAGTGCAGTGCATTTCCTGCTTTAATCAAAACCCAAACAGTCAACGTGATTACATAGCTATTCAGTTATCGCTGGGAATAATATTTAAAAAAAAGAACCTTTCGTCATTCTGTATACATAATATACTAGCACGTATATTGCACTTCTCAATTCTTTATTCCCACATGTATGAAAATGTACCAAAACACATGCTACAGTTGAAATATCCTAATTATTATAGCAGCATGCATTTGATTCTATAACATAAAAAAATCCCTAATAATGAACATACCAATCTGTGGTTCTGTTATATCATCCTGCGCTGTATCAGTTTCTAATATGTTGGGCAAAGAATCCAGAGAACCACTGTGAGTGCTACTGTCTCCTTCAGATGACATCCTTGTTAGGGAGAAGTCAAGCAGCTGTGGCTTTCTGTGTATGTTATTGTCTGCTGATGCTTCAGTCAGTCACTCCTGTCACAACCGACACAGGATGACGAAAAGACAATGCGGCGATCACTTCTGTCACAAACACTGCGTGATGGCAGCTTATCTATGGCTTGATTGCAATCATAATTTATGAAATGAGAGAAACATGAGTGGAATTAGTACTGATTGCTCACGCTTACACTGCTTGGATCTTACGCTGCACCAACGTGTTCATGTTTCTCTCGCTATGAATGGACTCTTCCAGTGACCAGTGCATTGCGCCTCAGGGGGTGTCAGGTTGCAAGTTCTTCATTAACACGGTGCAGGTTGTTATAAATCAATGCAGTATGGTGGTACACATTTTAATGAATTAACTTCAGTGTTCTCCTTGTATCCCACCTTAGGCCAGAGCACAGGGCTGCAGTCTCCACCAGTAATCACATACAACCAGGACCAACATGTAATAACAGAATCAAGAAAACATAATTTGGGATGGATCTAATTCCCAGCCTGCCTGAAACAAACAACCGGTCACGCCAGGAGTTCCCAGTTTATTAAGAAACTGCTACTATTACACCCATAGGAAAACATCCCTAGTCACATTGGTAATTTAATCAAGATTGGAAAAAATAGTAATCAAGAAGACTATCAGATAATGGGGCTACCCAAGTGCTCATCAAAAAAATAATTTATCAAAATAGAAATAAGAATTTGTTATGTTGTGGATAATATTACTTCGAGAGATGATATTTAAAGGCAAAGAAAAGAAAATTATGCAGTCAAGAGAGAGGGTTTCCATGAGAGGTTCAGACAGGCAAAGACAGCCTTCAGAGCACATGCCAGTACTCCCTTAGCATCAGTCATGTTATCGCAACATAATTTTAAAAATAACACATTCAAACAAAATTATCACTGAATTTGATGATAACACTCACCACATCCACACATAAACCAAGTCTCAGAAACACAGAAATTGGAAAAACACAGCAATTTTAAATAAATTTTCCTAAGTAACACCTTTATCCACATTACAATGAAATATATGTTAGGCTTATTAACATTTCATGATGATGAAGTGTATAAGGTTTCTAGCTGCTATTATTCATCAACCAGTATCAAGTTAAAGTTTTTCTTAATACGACCTCCATGACCTTGAAAGGAGGGTCAAATTCAACCAATCACAATCTCATCCAAGAACCCCATGACAAGTCTCTGGTCTAAATCAGGTGGTCTTAGCTCATCTGTTTTTGTGAGACAGATGGACAAAAAAACAGAAACTTTTTTTTCAAAAATCCTGCTATATGTGCTAATTAAATACTTGGCTGTACAATGCATAACCAATCAATTATGACATTTTTCAAATTTGACAATTTTTTACTACAAAAATTGGAAAAGAATGACACGTGTGTTCATATACTAGTATATGAAAATACCCACTGGACCTGATTTAGTACTGTTGAAGAAAATGGACAGAGATCTCTACCACTCTGTGAATATACATGTACCTCTCTTACTTAGTTGATAATGATAGCAGTAAGGGTATTACTAGCTCTTATGATGACAAAAATACTTCAGATGATGGTTGCTTGGCTGCCAAAAGTTTCAAAATGCACCGGGTGACCCCCCAGAATCAGGCTAATTCAAGGAAAAACAAACTACAAATGAAAGCAATCATCCACTAAAATTTTTGACATGATTCCTTCATAATCTGGAAGACAAGAACAAAAGAATAATATATAGATGGAATGCTTCTCAACCCTGACTGCCACCAAGCTATAAAAAACATTCATTATTACAATATACCATTTTAAGAAATCAAACATGTAATGCTATTATCTTATCTTTAAAAGAGGTCATCCTACTTGTTGAATCCCATTTTAGCAAAGGATAACCATTTTCTATAGGGATATCAATTATGTGATATTACTTTTTTGTTTCACTGTTTCACAAAGCAAAATCATCTAATAATAAGATGATTAAAAAACTATAAGCAAAATTCATGTTCAAAATGAAATTTTCCGATGCTGTCAATGCCTTTCTTTGCATGCTGTGTGGTCTAAGTTTGTCTTCTCACATATTCAAAATGTTGCCTGTAGTTACCCTCTTCCAAAAAGTAAACCAAACCCAATTATCAAACTAAAAAAAAAACTTTATATCACAACCATCTCACAAGAGAGCACCATAAATGAGTGCCTTACAGAATAATGAGCAAGAATGACAGAAATGTACCATGACACATCCTGCTTTAATGAGAGCTATACCTTACACCATAGCATCTTTAATGAGTGCACTCAGCTAATTGGGAGGCTTTTTTTGGCATAAAGTGGTCCACAGGAAGCCCCAATACCAACAGGTCAGAATAGCAGGGCACCAGCTCATTAGACTCCTACATGACAGATGTCATGCAGATCATGCAAAACTTCAGTAATCACAAAAATTAGCTCATTTATAGGATTTGCCTGACTTTTTCACCACCCAGAAAGAAACAGCTGGAATTTTCAAAATGCTACAGGATGATAACAGCATTACCTGCAACTAATTTGATGATTACATTGAGGACAGATTAATATAGAACATAAAAAGTTTACAGGGTATCTTTAATACAAGAACATGCGAAAGGCTGGCAGACATAAACTCCATAACCAGGCTTCTTCATCAATACATTCAATCAACTTAATACTTTTCACGGAAAAATCACAGCCCTCGTAATCACCCAATGTTAATCTAAATTCTCACATAAGAATTATGTTTAACGATGTTATTGTATGCCAACAAGCATTTGCAGCCTTTTTATAAGCTATATTGGGAACATAATATAGCTGTTTAGAGTCGAAACTTCCTAACTGCATGCTATATGAAATGGGTGGAAGTCGGTAAACATTCTGTAACAGTCACTGAAGGTTTGGCAAAGCTAGGACACTAAGAAATAACTGTGGTTAACAAAAGTGGGTGTTTTCACCTAGATTGTTATATATCAACAGTACAGAGTAAAAATACCATGTATAATATCTTGACCAGAAATTTTTCCTATTCTGTTTATTCTTCTGATGGTCTTAATGACAATCTCTTCATTCTCTCTACACTTCTTTTTCCTCTTCTTTTCTTTGGAAAATTGCAAAAAGCCATTCAGTACTGATCAGTATTCAGGCCCCTTAGCCAGGGGGGGTTCCAGGATGGGAGTGAGAATGAATTGTTCTTTTTCTGGGGAAAAAGGTCCGCTCTGGGTAAAATATAATGTAGGTACATAAAGGTTTAATGGTTGAAGGTCCACTTTTTTTCAAAAAAGAACCTCCCTGAAATGGCTGGCTACCGGCCTGCTATATTATAATTTTAAGAGATCATTTATTTCAGATAACAGAGCTATTTAAGAAAGTAGTGTCAAGAAACAGTCAGAAGGTAAAATGGATCTTCAATTGACACACCCTGTGCGTTCTCACACCTCAGTTGCCAACAAACGGTAAGATGTCTACTCTCAACTGCCACTGATCACTGTGCTTATGTCAAACAGTGATGAACTATTCACTTTTGGTGGCCAATTAATTTTTCAAATTCCCATTAACCGTGAGCTAAAAGCTTCTGCTGGCATCAGATAAATGCATTGTTGATTTCATATGCTCCACCTGACATTTGAAAGGGTCATGAAAAATTTATCAATTTTCTATTACTTGATTACATCTTTAGCAAAGCATGCAAGGTGGTATATTTCACTGTCAGAAATATGTGCATTAAAACAATTCATTGTTTACTGGGCCACAAAAGTGTCACATCAAACTAATAACTATTCGCTAAATGCCATAACCCCTCCACCCAATCAGTATCTGTTTTTTTTTTCTTTACAAAGAAATGGATTATGAGGAAAGGGTCAAACTAAATATGTACAGCAACACAGAAATTAAGAGAAACACTGAAAAATACCTGAAAAATACCACATCTACAAATAATAATTATTCTGAGTTTGAAGTTCCTGGATTAACACTTTCTACATATATGGCCTCTTAAAACTTTTTAATTAAGACCTGAGTTACCTTGAAAGTGGATCAAGGTGAATAAATCATCAACTCATCTAAGAAGGACTTAATATGCTGTAAGCTGAGTGGTCCTACATCATAGCTGTCATTATAAAACACATTCACCAGTTTGCAACACAAATGGACAGAGATTTTACTGACAGTTATAATATTCATTTTAAAACTACTTACTGAGACCTGAAAGTGACACTTTTTTATAAAAATCATTCAAGAACCAAAGATGAGAGAAAATGGAAATGGAGGGAGGGAGGGAGGTACTGATGCAGGTAATATCACACTTGTGCTAGTACAGTAATGATGTGGGAGAGATATGACGCGGGGATGTACAGACACGATCCAGGAAGATTTCAATAAAATTGACAGTTAGCTGTCAGAGATTGTCAAACAATGTTTCATGGCACTAATGTGTCAGCTAATTTTCAAATATTTTCAAAATAATCAAACTTTGGCAAAAGTCAGTGGGGGGAATATCAGGTGCATAAGTTCAGATTTGGGTCTTCATGCATGGATGGGTCCTTTGGAATTGATTCTGAAGTTCATGGTCAGTAAAAAAAAAGTAAAATGCTCAAAAGCAAATGCATTTTTAAAATCTATAACCAAATTTCTATTTAAATATGTTAAAATATATTAATAAGAAAAATGAAGGTTTTCAAACCCTGGTGCACAAATACAAGTCTTCATGCATACAAAGTTGAAATATAGTGGAAATTAGACAAAATCTAAGGTTGAAATGCTCGGGTAAATTTGTTTTGTGAAATGAATTCATAAATGTTGCATCCTTTTCTGTGTGTGTACACATTATCATTAGGTTTATAGATTTCCATTTAACAAATTGTCAGGATTGCTTTTTTTTTTTTTTCACGAAGCAGCTCAATGACTTACACCAAACTTTGACGTGACCTAGTGGGCTTACAATGTGCAAAAATTAATTGCTATTTTTAATGCCCCAGACATCCTTCCTAAGATGCTTTGAAGTAAGTGAGTACTAAGTAGGCATTGCTGTACCCAGTGCCCTTGCAGCACCATACTGTTATTATGTAAATACCAATGAAGTTCCATGATTGGCAACATATTTTACTAATAAAAAGATACAATCCAGATAAAATTAAGCTTGTAATAGCTGTTTTTTTTTTCCATAAGAAATTTAAGTAGACGTATGGTTTAATTAGGCACCTTTGCAGTAGAAAGCATGTATGGGTATTGTACCTGCTAAATGAACTTCATTTTTGTACAAAAGAAAAAATTAATAAAAGTTAAATCTAACAAATCTACTTCTATGAATGGTCCTTTTTTCCTTTCTTTATGTACAATTCAAGTGATATCCTTTCAGTCAAATAATTGTTTTCTGCATAATTCCCAATACTCTTCAGCTGAAAGAATATAGCATAAAAGGTCTATCATAATCTTTAAAACTTACTGTATCCTAAACAGTCCAATGAAATTGCCCACCACAACTAAATGGCAGCAGGATATTTGGCCTTATGTGAGGCCTATCCACTTCTTGGAGATGACCCCCCTAGTTTTATCCAGTCAGGAAAATCGTTATGTTGGAAATAAATGTATGT